GCCAAATAGAAGGTGTAACAGAAGTAGACCTATCAGTAGATTTATTAGTACCAGTAACAAAAGCTTGTGAACAAACTGGTGAAGCAACAGATAAAGAAATAGGTGGCAGAAAATGATAGAGTCCATTGATGTTATATCCTTTGTGAAGAACTTTCTTTGTAATTTTGTCCTGAATCACAAAGTTAGACTCATCAAATGTTATGATGCAATGATTATCCTGAGCTAACTTTTGAATAGAAACAAGATTGGAAGAAATGGATGATGAATGAAGAATATTGTTGCGTCGAAATGAATGATGTGGAGTAGGTAAAAGTCCGTTACTAGTGTGATTGATAGGGACAGAAGTGCCATTTCCAATAGTGACCTGATCAGTACCTTGATATGGTTGATAATAGGACAGATTATTGAGGTCATTGGTGATGTGATCAATAGCAGCAGAGTCTAGGTACCATGGGACTGATGAAGATGATGAGACATCTGCAGATGAAGAAGCAACAAAGGCCCTAGGAGCAGATGATGAAGAACCATTGGTATTGACATTATGAGGCAAGGATTGATATTGAGAGTGATACTGAGAGTCCATTCGGTGCCAACAATCAAGAGCTAGATGACCAAAACCGTCAAACTACCAATAGGTCCTAATAGTTGGATTTAATTCCTATTAAGTCCTATTGAAAATGAGTCTTGGTAAAATTGTCGCTAAAAATAATTTTTTTGTGACAAATTTTTTTATATGTTGCTAAAAATTGACAATTAGTGACTTTTTTTTTGTCATGATTTCTATTGTCACTAAAACTTACAATTAGTGACCTTTTTTTATGACAATTTTTTCTCATAGAACCTATTAGACAATAAGTTTACTTATTAGGACCTACACGTAAGTACCCCAAAGATGAATTTCTTATTCAATACATTCAATGTACAAGCTATCCTCATATATATAGTGCTACAACTATATCTATATAGGAAATATGTATCTAAAGCACATGTGCTAATTCTTGTAACTGTTTAACCATCTAAAAAACTATCAAACTGTTTAAATGTTATTTGTTTTGAGCTAGCTCGACTTTATTGCTGAAACAGAACAGAAGCTGAGCTGCTATGCTTGGGCTTTGATGGCTGATGGCTTTGATGCAATATCCTCAACATTCCCCTTCAAGCTAATGGGGTGAGTGAACTCCATAAACTTGTCTTTGAGATACAAAAATCTGGAGACGGAGAGAGGTTTAGTGAAGATGTCAGCCAATTGGTCAATAGTTGGAATATACTGAAGAACCAGCTTTTTAGCGAGAAATTGTTCTCGAACATAGTGGCAGTCCATTTCAATGTGTTTAGACCTGGAATGAAATACTGGATTGGAAGCCAAAGCCATAGCAGAAATATTGTCACACCAGAGAGTAGGAGACACAAGAGAGGCAATAGACAATTCAGTAAGGAGCATGCCAATCCAATCCAACTCTGCAGCAGTATGAGCGAGAGAACGGTACTCGGCTTCAATGGAAGAGCGAGAGACTGTGGCTTGCTTTTTGGAGGACCAAGACACTAAGTTAGAACCCAAAAATATACAATAACCTGAGGTAGATTTTCTGTCTGAAACATCTCCAGCCCAGTTAGAATCAGAGTAGGCCTGAACATCAAAAGAGCTGGTAGAATAGGTCAGACCATGTCCAATGGTACCTTTAACAAAACGTAGCAGTCGTTTAACTACAACAAATTGTCCAATGGTGGGAGCATGCATATGCTGGCAAGAGTGATTAACGGCCAAAGAAATATCTGGACGAGTTATGGTGAGGTATTAGAGAGCAACAACAAGGCTAAGATAGAGAGCAGGATCAGAACATGGAGCTGATGAATCAGGAGCAAAGGAAGGTTTAACTGATATAGGTGATGGACAGGGTTTACAATCAGCTAAGCCTGCCATATGAAGAATATCCTCAGCATATTTGGGACAAAACATAGCCAGTGGAAGTGGGTGTAATGGAAATACCCAAAAAATAGGATAAGTCACCAAGTTCTTTCATAGAGAAGGCAGTGTGCATATGAGAGATAAGTGTTTGAATGTGAGAAGCATCATTGCCTATGACTAAAATGTCATCCACATAGACCAAAAGAGCAGTGAAAGTAGTGTTGGTTTGCTGGATGAATAAAGAAGAATCACACTTGCTATTTTGAAACCCTTGAGATAAAAGATAATTGGAAAATGTAAAATACCAGGCCCGGGGTGCCTATTTCAAGCCATATAAAGCTTTCTTGAGATGACAAACATGATGAGGGTAATCTGGATGAACAAACCTTGGTGGTTGAAGCATAAACACTTCCTCTTCAAGAACTCCATGAAGGAAGGCATTGGATATATCCAATTGTTTCAAGGGCCACTGATGATGAAAAGCTAGACTAGTGGCCAAAGGGTACCTTCGGCAAGCAGGTGTGGATTTTCAAGAGACCTTTAGTCCTATAGCTAAGCTTCCAACCATCAGATATCTCTTGTATAGATATAGTTGTAGCACTATATATATGAGGATAGCTTGTACATTGAATGTATTGAATAAGAAATTCATCTTTTCATCACATAACATTCATATTGTGATGCAAAAATCAATCATAAGAGTTTGATACTAAAATAAGTCTGAGATAAATATATAGGCTACATCTATTTGTATGGGTAAGTTACAAACACATCAAAAAAACAGAAAAATGAAACTCAAAACCCACAAACCCATAACTTCTAGGCAGCGGAGGTGGCAGACCCAATGGTAGAAGGCGACGGGTCAAGGTGAAGGCAGTAGATCAAGAGATGGAAGGTGATCAAACTATTCGATAATTATAATATATACACATGTTTAATTCATTAATAAAAAAGAAAAGAAAAAAAAAACAATAATCACACATACATGAGGGTAGGGTGGTCATTTGTCGGGCCGGGTCCTGCCGAGTTGACACTACATAATAAGAGATTTTGTATCTGTCCAAGCCTGACCTGACACAATTCTAACATCGGGGCTCTACGTCTGCCAAGTTTGGCTCAAAAAATAATTATAAATCCCAAGTCCACTATTTGGGTTATATATTAAAAAAAATTAAAATATTCCATAATTAAATTTAGGAATAGTTACCAATAAATCCTAAATGTTGAAAATGTGTTCCATTTGGTCCTAGAAATATTCTTCTGATCCGTTTGATCTTTTCCATTGTGGAAAGACGTAAATACCACTAGGTGGGCTGCTGCAACGCCTAATACATGTGTTTGGTGATTTTGGTGCGCGTGGTGGTGACGTGCCACTTTTTCATGTTTTAGGTGTTAGTAGGTGGTTATAACTTGCCACATTAAGCATGTGATTTTGGTTCTAAACGTGATATGTAATACTCTAACATAGTGGGTATGATATACCACTCTAAAAAAATTAAAATTATTAATGTGACAGATATTATGTGATACTTCAATGTTGTAGGTATTAATATGACACTCTAAAAAAATTTAAAAAATTTTAGTGTACTTTTCCTAAATGTGACAACATGGCGGATATAATATGACACTCTGAAAATTTTACTTCAAAAAAAATAAAAATTCTTTAGTGTACTTTTCTCTAATGTGACAACATGGCGGGTATGATGTGACACTTCAAAAAAAAAAACTCCTTAGTATACTTTTCCCTAATGTGACAACGTGACGGATATGATGTGACACTCTAAAAAAAATTAAAAACTCCTTAGTCTATTTTTCTCAAACATGACAACGTGACAGATATGATGTGACACTCTAAAAAAAATTAAAAACTTCTTAATATACTTTTCTCAAATGTGACAATGTAACGTATATGATGTGACATTCTAAAAAAATTAAAAACTTCTTAGTGTACTTTTCTTAAATGTGACGTGTGACACTCCAGCGTGGCGGGTACGATGTGACACTCTAGAAAACTTAAAAACTCTTTAGTGTATCTTTACTAAATGTGACACTCTAACGTGACGGATAAGATGTGCTATTAAAAAACTGACATAACGAATAAACATTGAAGAAGAATGGGACACATGCACAATTGTACCACAACCACTGCAAAATGAATGAACTACATGTGGCATGTTATGCAATTGAAATGTGTGGCATAGAACACAAAAACCCTAATGTAATGATGTGAATGTCTTGTACTGCAATATTTCAATTACCAAATGTTTGGAAGTAATCCCACCAAAATTGTAAAAAGAGAAAATGAAGGGTATAATTGACCACCCACTGTTACCAAACAAAGGAAATAGGATCAACTGATAAGATATTCCCTACTAATAAGACTAATCAGAATAGTAGAAATAACCTTAGGATCAATTGGTAAAACTATTTGCGAAATGAGATTCATTAGTAAATATCTCTTAAATAATCACACATTATATTTTTTAAATAAATATATTGACATCATTATAAATTGAAAGATTTTGTGTGTAAATTGAAGGGTTTTTTTAAATAAATTTAATCAAACATCACCATAAATATGAATTTTAATAAAATCAACAAAGATAAAATTTAAATCCCAGCAAAAAATATATATTTTAATATATTATAATTAATTAATTAATTAATTTAATAGCTGGCCAGACCGGGTTAGGTTAAAAATATAAATTCCAATTGCTCAAACCATTAATATATCATATTAAAAATATTGACTCAATCCGATCTTAAAAATTAAAACAACATTCTTAAATCTTAAAAAAAAAAAGATCGGGCCGGATGAATTTGGTGGGCCCCACCCCTATATGAGGGTAGATGTCAAAGGATACATGACTAACTAGGCATACAATGCTAGGACTTTAACATGAGTTGTTTAGAATTTATATGGGAAAATCGATCTAGGGTTCCTCTCCCATTTTTCGTAATGGAAAAGATTCACAAAATTATTTTTTGATGTCTAAGGTCCCTAAACATATATCAGAGAAATTTCAGTCCTTTATACTATCTTCATCATCTGACCCGTGTCGACGACCACCTCCGTGAAAACGCAGAGGCCACCATGGACGTCCCCTCCGACCATATTCCTTACCTGAAGAAAGTCTTCAACAGACTCGAGATTGGGTTGGCTGGCTTCCTTCAAGCTTCCGCACCTGATTGGATCATTTACGACTTTGCTCCTCACTGGTTGCCCCCTATCGCCACCAAACTCGGCATGGATGATGATGATAAGGACAGAGTCAATCCAGCGATTACCGAGTCGAGCTGGACATTCGGTGTTGCCACCATGGACGTCCCCTCCGACCATATTCCTTACCTGAAGAAAGCCTTCAACGGACTCGAGACTGGGTTGGCTGGCTTCCTTCAAGCTTCCGCACCTGATTGGATCATTTACGACTTTGCTCCTCACTGGTTGCCCCCTATCGCCACCAAACTCGGCATGGATGATGATGATAAGGACAGAGTCAATCCAGCGATTACCGAGTCGAGCTGGACATTCGGTGTTAACTCGGACAGTGTTTACTTCTTCGACAACGATAGAGACAACAGTATACTGAGCGAATTTGGTTGGAATCTTCGGCCCGAGTCGGCTGTTAGACGAAGCTGTGCATTTGTGTAGAAAATGAAGTCAGGTATGAGGATCTGGTTTTGCATGGTATTTTTGGAATAGAAAAGATGGCCAGTGATTCCATTTGCTGGGTTCTCCTCCTTCTGGTAAGAGATTAGACATGTTTGAGGTTTGATTACTCAGATTTTCTTCAACGAGAAATTATTCGGTGGATTAAGCAAGCTCCTGGATTTTCTCTGGGTTGTGGAGTCCAGAGAAATTCTCTGGGTTAAGAGAATTTCTCTGGAAATATGTTTGGGAATTTTCTCTGGGTTGTGGAGTCCAGAGAAATTCTCTGAGTAAGAGAATCTCTGAAAATAAAGGGCATTGTGCTTGATTGACTTTGGGTTACCAGTTGATCGATATGATGACAATGACTTGGCAAATGGTCATGATCCGGTGCTGAAGAAGTTGCAGAACTCTCCTATTAATGGAAGACTGAAGCGGAAATATAAAGGCCACGAATTGGAGACGAAACACAATGGTAGAAAGAATTTTGAATTTTGTGCTTCCAGAGACCCTGTTTTATTTGTAAGACATCTTTCAAAAAAATTTGTATTGATCGTAGACAAACCATGAATGGAAGTGGTTAAAACTTTTGATGCCCCACCTGTTCACAGACATATTCATGGGACATAACTGCTTGTTGAAGGTGGTTTTCTAACAGCTTAGGTGGAAGAGAGAGAGTTCAAATGTAGGAGTTGAAGATCCCCTTTGTCTGAGAATTTCTCTGGACCAATTTTCTTTGACTTGAATTTTCTCTGGACCAATTTTCTCTAGACCAATTTTCTCTGGATTGATGTTGAGGGACCTTAGACATCATGAAAATATTTGATGTCCTTTATACTATAAAATCATAATATCAGGGACCTTAAAAAAAATACCCCAATTTATATTCACTTAAAAAGTTTTAAGTATGTAAATAATAAATTCATCTAGAGTAAATTATATATTTTTATCTTTATGATTTGACTTAAATTTGACTTTAATTTTTATTATTTTAATTTGAACAATTTAATTCCAATATTTAAAATTCATTTTCAATTTGATTATTCAATTGAAATTTTTGTTAATTTTTTCTACACGTATACCTTAAGAAACCAAAAAATGTTCCTAAAACAACTTTCAACTTAAACCAAAGGGCCAAATTAAAATTACACAAGTGTAGGGATCAAATTAATTAATTTGAATAGTAAGACTAAAATAAAATTTTGATCAAATTATAAGAGTTAAAAAGTGTGATTTATCCATTCATCTAATATAGAGTAAGATTTACTATTTTGACTTTTTATTCAAGCCTTTGTGAGAGAGGGGAGGAGAGGGGAGGGGGGGACACATTGTCCCTTCCCCATTTGTTTTAAGTATGAAGTATGGAGTTTATTTAGTCATCCTAAAAAGTCTGTAAGTGTAATTATACTATAACTATAAAATTTATTGTTTGAAGTAAGTATAATTAACTCTAGATATTAACGCTTTGTTTGTTTAGGTAAAAAATATTTTTTTAAAAAAATATTTTTCATATTTTTTGGTGTTCGGTATAATAGAAAATGAAAGTTAACGAAAAATATTTTCTATGATCAATGAAAAACAAGCCTATTTGAGTAAAAAATATTTTCTACTTTTAAAAAGTGAAAAATATTTTCCGGACTAAAATTTTACCAATGTCGTATCCACCACCACACCACCATCACCACGAACACTGTCGCTATGACCGCTGCCCCACCACCATGCCACAACCTCTACCTCCACCTTCGTTTCACCACCACCAAATACAAAAAAAAAAAAAAATTCTTTGAAAAATATTTTTCTGAAATTTTTTTCTGTAGAAAAAATATTTATTAATGTGATTACAGCATGGTTCAATGCAATTGTAAAGTTGCCTTAATTGAAAATTTTATTCATCTCATAGAGGTGTATATAGAGAAAATATTGCATAAAATATTTTTCTGTAGAAAAAATATTTAATTATGTGATTACAGCATGGTTCAATGCAATTGTAAAGTTGCCTTAATTGAAAATTTTATTCATCTCATAGAGGTGTATATAGAGAAAATATTGCATAAAATTGATATTTTTTTTTAATCTACACCAGCTATTTTAGTAATTTTTTTTATTTTTTAGTTAAAATATAAAATAAAAAATAATTATATTTTGGATGATTTTCTAATTTTTTATAAAAAAAAAGCACAAAAGAATCTTCAATTTTTTTTGTATGATTCTTTAACTTTTGATTTTTTTTATTATTTTTTAAGCTTTCCAAACTTTCCCTTAATCAAGGATATTCTCCAGTACGTCTAGAAGATGCAATATCACATGGGGGAATTTCAAAGTAGTAGGGCAGGCGACAAAAATGAATAAATAAATAAATAATAAAAAAAATATAAAAATATGCGGGTACAAGTATAATTTTATGATAGAATGTAAGTGAAAGATTGTGGGTGGGGGTGGGGGATATTCTACAGTACGTCTAGAAGATGCAATATCACATGGGGGAATTTCAAAATAGTATGGCAGACGACAAAAATAAATAAATAAATAAATAAAATATATAAAAATATAAAAATATGCGGGTACAAGTAATTTTATGATAGAATGTAAGTGAAAGATTGGGAAAAATTATGTGGGTACAAGTAATTTTATGATAGAATGTAAGTGAAAGATTGGGGGACGGGGGGAGGGGGGTTCTTCGCTAGAATGTAATTTTTCCTTATCACATCACATTAGAGCATCTTTAATAAGAGAGACATTTTTAAAGAATTTTTAAGTATTTTGTCTAATCTCATCAAGCAATGGAGCTCCAACACCGACAGTAATATCCGGTTGATATTTTCCGATATTTTCTCCTGATTAGTTGCATTTGGAGAATATTAGGCAAATAAATTTTAACAAAATATACAATATACTTTTCTATACGTTTTTACTAGGAGAGATGTTAATGTCTATTAAGCATAGTTTGGAATTGGCTTTTTTTTGTTGACATCTTTCCATTTTTAGTGAATTAAAAAAAAAACCCGAAATGTTTATATTTTTAGAATTTACTTGATCAGACATATTTCTACCCCTTGTTTTGAGTGTTTTGTTTGTTTAGAATTTTTAAAAATTGATTCCATGCACTTTTGAAAACTCTTTTCAAGGCGGGAGCTAATTAGTCGTCCTCCTCGGACGTTCGGCCGGTTGATTAGAACAGTACTATTTTATTTTTATTTTTTTTACAATTGGCACCTGTTATTTTTTATATTTTAAATAAAAAAAATCAAAATTTTTTAAATTTTTTTTATGAGTTTTGAATAGAATTTTTAGTTGTGCGTTTAGTAATGAGTTGTAAGTTTTTGTATCAAATATCATATGTCACATCAAAAATTTCAAACTCTTTTTAAAATTCTTTTCAAAACTCCTAACTAGACAAATTTTTCACGCTCAAATCATAATTTTAAAACTCACATACTCAAAATACAACTTTATTTTCAAATCATTATTCCAAAACTCTTCCAAACACGACATTCTCTTTTCAAATCATAATTTCAAAACTTACAAACTCAAAATATAACTCTATTATTAAATTATAATTTTAAAACTCTACCAAACACTATCATGATTTTATTTTTTTTGTGAAAAAAAACACTTAAATAAACAAAAGTAAAAAAATTAATTGGTTCTTTTGGCCCTTTTTTTTTTGGTTTTTAGTAAATTTTTGTAAAGATTTTTTTGGTTGACTTTTCAAATTCTTTTACACTAAGATAGACTTGAAAAAGTAAAAAAAAATTGACACATATTTAAAAAAAAAAAACAAAAAAAAAAACAAAACTAAAGATGATGGGTGTGTGTGATTTGTATTTTGCGATAAATTTTCAAACAAAATTTAGGGAGAGAGCTTATAAATTTTTCTGTTTGTTTGGTTGTATATTTTGTTATAGTAGAGTAGATATGCGTGAGACAAAAAGTGATTGAGAATGAGAGAGGAGAGAGAAAAAGTAATTGATTGATGTGCAGAAAAGAAAAAATAATTTTAGAATTTTTTTTCAAAAAAATTGAACCAAACAAAATTATTTTTTTTTTTCAAAAATTATATCTTGAAACAAACCAGATATGTTTTTATAAAAAAATATAACTTTTTAACTGGATGCCAAACCACTCATTTTTAAGTGTTATAGTTGCTCTCTGGTGACCATGAAAACCATTTTCTAGATCAAATACAAGCGTTATTTTCTAGCTACTAAGTCCTTGTTTGACATCATTTAAAAAAGATAAAAAATTATTAAAAATATATAAAAAAAAAATACTATTCACAATGTTTGGATAGGAACCTGGGACTGAATACTCAGGGAGAAAAAAGATAATTTTGCCCTTGCTTTTGTCCCTTCCTCTGAGAATACAATTATTAGGAATACTATGGGTTACAGAAGGTTTCACCTCAACATCTCCTCTCCTTCTCCAAACTCAAGCGTAAACACTCCTCCGTTAAGCCACCGACAATTTTGGTTTGTTATATTTTTTCATATTACAAACCAATAATTGTATTATTATGTTGCCACCACCATTATGACATTATTGAATTCAACACAATAATTACAAAAACAAAATTGCACAGCTCACGGGTAAAAAAAATAAATAAATACAAAACCAGTGTAGCTCAGTGCACTGTGTTGAGTTTGACAACTTCACTGACCTGCATGGAAAGTATGTCTCCACTCAGAAAGGTAAGAAGGTAATTTTGGTATTTCATACAATATTTTAATATATATTTTTTCATAAAAATCAAAAAGTTATTCCAAACAATCATATTTTTTTCCTTTACTTTTTAGCCAAAAAAAATCAAAAGTGCACTTATATAATTCATTCCAAACAATACCTAAAATTGACTTTTGTTGCTTATATCAATTGGCCCAAAAAATGCATTTCAAACAAGGGTGATTATTCAGTATTTTCAGAGTATGGACACGAGGTGTTTTATAAGGTTTTGATTGGTAGAGAGGGGTATGGACTCACAATTTATTTTGGAGACGAGGAACAACATGAGAGCTAAATAATTAGTGATTGGTTTAGAGTATGGTCACGTAATATTCCGGGATTATTAAATAATTTCTCCTCAGACAACTACTACATAAACATCACTACAACTAGGGATGCCACGTCCGTTCAAAAAAAAAAAAACTAGGGATGACATGGGATAGATTTGGAGTGGGTTTGTCATCTCTCGCCCCTGCCCTTATTCTCAAACTCCATCTCTGCCTCGCCCCAACCTCGCCATGGGTGGAATTTTTCAATCCCATTTCAGCCTCCGTAGATATCCGTGGATACCTGATACCTGCAGACACCCGACTACATTTCAAATAGCTAAAAAAATTAAGAAGCCATTTAAATCTTAACACACTAAATAATTTATCTTGATTCCATATATATATATAAACAGTGAAACTTTTAGAATTATTTATTTATATTTAAACAAAATCACAGACTTTTAATATTTTTTTCTTATATCTAATTATATTATATATATACATATATATTATTTGTTTACATATATTATTAATAATATCGGGTTGGATTTGAATCAGGAGATGCGATACCTATACCTGTCCCAACTCTGTTACGCGTGACTAATATATAATCCATAAGTGTTGGATTGAATAAAATCTACGCCAGGCGCATTTGTACTAAAATTGCCGTCCCTAACTACAACCATTTTGGACATGTGTTGTTAAATGCTCAACCTGACACAACCAATTTCCCTAGTGGCCTATTTAAGGAGGGTCGGGTACCTCACTCTGGTCTCACAGCTCATAACACCAAGTTTCATACTCAGAGTTTCCTTGAATCCAGGAAAATGAGGATGGTGGCGGTGGTGACGATGGTGGTGGTGGTTCTTTTAGTGGTGGCAACACCGATGTTTGCGGAGGCTATCAATGTTTATCAGCTGAGACAATTAGCAGCTAAAAAAAATGTGACATGTGTGTTGGTGTTTGGAGACTCAAGTGTTGATCCTGGCAATAATAACCGGCTCAAAGAGGCTCTCAAAAGCAACTTCCCTCCTTATGGGAAGGACTTCTTCAATGGTCACCCCACCGGAAGGTTCAGTGATGGAAGACTTGCTACAGACTTCATTGGTAACTAATTAAATTGCTACCACTGCTACCACTTTTGTTTTTGTTTTTGTTTTTAAGTTTCTTGTCCTTTCTTAGTTTATTTTCGGAAAGAGTTTGTTCTACGTATATAGAAGTCTATCAGAGAACCATACACAAGGATTGTGCTTGATTTTGTGCATTTAAAATTTTCCTTTCATAAATAATTTAGTGCTTTTAAATCTGTATTAATATTATTATTTGTCTAGTTTCTAGTTAATTTCTTGTCTTTTTCTGCTTTTTGTTTGTTTATTTATTGTTTTTTTCTTCTCTAGTTTAGATTTTTTTTTCTTTGGCTCGATTAGTTTAGTACTGTTTTGCTTAGAATTTTTTATTTTATATTTTTTATTTTCTCATGTCACTACTAGGCATTTTCTTACTTGAAAAAGAAAGCTTATATATTTTTTGTGATAAAGATTATATATTTTGTTGTAGAAATTATATTTTTTGTATAAAGTTGTATAATACCATAGGCACCATTTTAAAGTTCCCTTATGTTATTTCTTAAAGATGAATTGTTTATAATTTTCTTTTTTTCCGAAGAAATAGTTGCAGGTCTACGTTAATAATTATATGTAGGAGTCATTATTGTGTTTGAGAAAATAATTTGCAAACAAGTTTTTGAGGTTTTTTTTGAAAAAATAGAAACAAAAAACCAAAAATGTACTAAACATGACAGGGAAAACTGTATAAATTTGGGGGTTTAGTTTAATGGTTTATTTTTGTCTTTTGTTAACTTTTTAGAGAACAATCTTGATTGGTAGCTCGAAAAAGCCCTCCCCGAATCCTCCGAATTTGAAAAGAAGAAGAAAAAAGAAGAAGGAAAGGAGGAGCTAACATCAACCAGAGGGGGGCTTTGGCAGAGGCGGAGGCGGAGGCGGGGGCGGGGGCGGAGGCGGAGGGCGGAGGCGACGGCGGGGCTGGGCTGCGACGGAGCTGGGCTGGGCGATGATCGGCGATCGGCGAATCTCTCTTCTCTTTCTCTCTTCCCCTCTTCTTCTCTCTTTCTCTCCCTCTTCCTCTCTGCGTTTCAGATTGGAAAATGGAAGAAAAAAAATAAAAAATAAAAAAAGAAAAATGTTCAAAACGATGTCGTTTTGAACATTCGGGGGGATTCGGGAAGAAAAGTTTCGAGTTACAAAACATTATTCTTTAGAAAAAATTTAAAAAAGTTTTAGGTTTTTAAATTTGAAAAGAAGTCCAGAAAAGACCAAAAAATGGGCAAAATTAGTGATTTTTTAGGTCATTATTTTTTTAAAAAGTTTTTTAAATTCATCTAAGTAAGACAGACTGAAAATATAAAATATTTTTGACACAAATTAAAAAAAAATCACTAAATAAAAAATTAAAAAAATGACTTCTTTAGAAGTTTCGGCTTCTCTCATAGAAGGGTTAAACCTGTAAATGAAGTCAGCATTTTTTTTTCCAAAATGTAATCTTACTTTTGCCTTTTCAAAATAAAAATAATTTTATCTTGGCCTCTTAAATTTCATAAAAATGTCATTAACTCCAATACAATTTTGATTATTTATAAAATAAATAATAGCATTTTGGTCCCTCAAAGTCTATATAATCTTAATTTGGCTCACATAAAATTTTAACAATTTTTCTTTATATTTGATCAATTAACCTTCACCCCTATTTTTTCTTTCTGTAGCGGAGGCATTCGGATATACAAACATAATTAGAGGATTCCTTGATCCAACTATTCAGAAGGTTGATCTTCTACATGGTGTTAGTTTTGCATCAGCTGGTTCTGGTTATGATGACCTCACAGCCAATTTCACCGTAAGTTTTCCTATCACAAAACCGGATACAGAAAATATATTTATAGTCGAGATTTTTCACAAGGGTTTTGTCTAATTTGGCACTTTAGACCCATTAAACCATTCATTTTATAACAAATCATAAAAAAAAAATTAAAATCAAAAAATCAAATTGATTTGATAATCTTAACTACATAATTTTATTATATTAATTTTTTTAAAAAATATATCGCCATTTATTGGATCAATTTGAATTTATTTATTTATTTTCTTGTGAATAATCGCACGTAAGAGTTACAAAATGAACAGCATCACCACAACAAATAAGAGTTTTAGGAATTAAATTTTTATCCCATAAAAGTGAAAATTTTGTTACAAAAAATATTTAGGGACCAATTAGTATTGTTATAAGGATCGTTGTTAAAAGGTCGTTCTGAAAAATAAAAAAATAAATTTTTGGTGACAAAATTTTAAACATGTTGCTAATGTTGTTTTAGAAACAAAACAATTTGGTGCAAAAAATATTTATTTTTTGAGATAAAAATTTTGGTCCAAAAAATAATAATTTATCATTAGATGTTCAATTTTGTCGCTAAAAATATAACAATAGCACTTTTTTGCAACTAAAATTTTTTATCCTTAAATTTTTGTTTGGATCACCAAAGTGAGAACCATGGCAAAATTTATTTTTATAAAATCTTATTCATTCATATATTTTCCATATCCATTACGGAAGAGCAATTAAACAAAATTTTTAAATTTTTTTTTTTTTCAGGGTGCATTACCTGTGTCCAAACAGTTGGAGTATTTGAGGCATTATAAGATCCATCTGAGACAACTAGTGGGAGAGATGGTGGCAGAGAAAGTCATAAAAAATGCAATATTTGTAATAAGCATGGGCACAAATGACTTTCTCCAGAACTATTATTCAGATCCTGCTCGTCCCAAGCAGTTCACTCTCAAACAATATCTCAATTTCTTGAACTCTCGCATGTTTCTTGCTGTTAAGGTCCTCTCTCTCTCTCTCTCTCTCTCTCTCATATTTGCTATGCCAAAAACTCTATATATATTGGGTAAATTACACTTTATTCTTTTTGTGTTTATCAATTTTTTCACTTCGGCTCTTAAAGTTTTTTTTTTTTTTTTCCTGACTTTGGCCTTTCATGTTTCAAAATTTTTTCAATTTACTTCAAAAGTTCACTTATGTCCAAAATCAGACAGAAAAGGACACATTGACAGTTACGTTATACAAAAATATTTTATTAGATGTATCTCACATCTCTAACACAAACCCAAATTCTAATATAGTAATATATTTTTTATGCCATGTGATAGCTAACATGACACATTTTTGTTTAATTTTGAACAAAAAATTAGCTTTAGAAGTATATTGAGAAAAATTTAAAATCAAACGAGCCAAAGTGAGAAAATAATCAAACATAAAAGGGTAACGTGTAATTTACCCTTATATATTTGACATTTTTTTTTTTGGGGGGGGGGGTTCTCTATGTTATTTTTCAAATGTTAGAAAATGTAATTAGAAAAAAAGTTTTTAGAATTTAAAATATGTGAATTAAATTAATTCCTAGTGTGACTCATATCACACCAAATTTAAATTTATGATAACATAAAATTTAATTTTACGAATTTTAAAATATTTTTCTAAAAAATTATTTTTTATAAAATTATTTCTAACTAAAATAGGGACTCAAGTCCTTGACTCAGCATAAAAATGGGGTGGGTATCGGCCCGTTGGCTCGCCTGACTCAATCTTATTTTTTTGAAGTTTAAGAAAGTTGTTTTAGCTCATGGGGTCGGGTTGGGCTAATATTTTCAACTCGATATATTATGGGTTGGGTTTAGGATTTATACTTCCAACCTACCCTTGCCCGCTTTAAATTAATTAATTAATTATAATATATTAAATATACATATTTTTTATTGGGGTCTAAATTTTATCTTTATTGATTTTATTGAAACTCATATTTATGATGATGTGTGATTGAATTTATTTAAGAAATTCTTCAATTTATAATAATTTCAATATATTTATTTAAAAAATATAATGTGTAATTGAATTTAATTTAATTGTGAAATATTTAAAAGCAATTTAAATATAACCCGATGGATGGGTTTGGGATTTATAATTATTTTTAGGACAAGACTTAAGCAGATATAAAGGCCCAATATTAGGGTCGGGTTGGGCCGAGCTTGGACAAATACAAAGTCCCTTATTATGTAGTGTCGGCCCAACCCGACCCAACAAATGCCCACCCCTACCGTTAAATATTGAGTAAAATAGTAACATTATTGCTAATAATGAGTAAAATAGTAACATTATTGCTAATAAAACAAAAACATATCATGAAATTTTGATATTTTCACATGGATCACCATTAAATTACTAGTGGTATTTGCTAAATCACTTTAAGTTTGTTTTATTTATTTATTTTATCAATATATTACCGTTCAGATATCTTTAGATTATGATTTTTCCTCCTATAGAAGTTTATTATCTCTTTATGAGATCTTTTGTCGATTTTGTAATGAAAATTTTCTTCCCGATCTAATTATATTTTAAAAAATTTACTAAAAATAAAAACTGAATTTTATCCCAAATGTTTTTTTGGTATTTAGTAATTTTTTCATCCTCCATGTATTACTTGTCATGGTTTGCATGGTTTGGTTGCAGGGAATGCATCGTTTGGGAGCAAGAAGAGTGGCAGTGGTTGGGGTCCCACCTTTTGGTTGCATGCCACTTGTGAAGACCCTAAGGGATAAGACTAATTGTGATGGCATGTCTAATGAAGTGGCTTTCTTATTTAATAACAATATAAAACAAACTTTGGAAACCCTAAAAGCCTCATTAGGGATCGAAACTGCCTACATAGACATCTACAATGTCATTGCCACTGCTATCAAATACCCTAACATCTATGGTTAGTGCACCTCTTCAATATTTGCTTTTGTTTCTTCCATTTATGTTTGTTCTTTACTGGTCCATGTTTTTCTTCCATTTATTAAATTCAATAATAATTAGAAAGTCAATAATTAATTTGCTTGTTATGTGGATAGAATAACAATGTTATTAATTTTTTTAAAATTGATAATAGCACAGGATAACTAGAAGAGAAAGGGAGATTAGTGTAATTATATCAAATTTATGGGCCTCAATGCATTTTGCCTAAACCTTTTAGGGGTAATTTATGTAATTTAACCTTCTTTTTAAAAAAATACAAGAAAAGATTAAATAGTAAAAGATTACACTTAACATTGATTTTCACTTATTTATTTTTACATCTTATATATTTTAACTCTCATTCTATAAATCATAATTTGTAATATACCATATTATCTCTTAAATTTATTATTATTTTCATTCTTAAAGTTATGAAATTAATGGCCACTTCCCTGATTTACCATGCCCCCAATATGATACTAAGCAAGGCAGGACACTACAAATCCGATTTACCTCACTGTCATCTTAGTTCTTGTCATAAATTTTGTAAATATTTTTTGTAAGAATATAATTTTAAAAAAAATATATATGTCACAACTTAAAAGGAGATTGAGAATTGTATGTGAAAATTGACAGGTTTCAAGGAGACATCAAAGGGGTGCTGTGGATCTGGGTTGATAGAGTTCGGGGATTCATGCAAGGGTATGAGTACTTGTGCTGATCCGACGGAGTATGTATTCTGGGATGCAGTTCATCCAACTCAAAAAATGTATAAAATAGCTGCAGATGAGGCTTTGGATTCTATTTCTAAGAGTATGTTGGCTTAAGAATATGCAAGTTCTTCTAATTGTTTTTTTGATCCGAACACATAACACCATGAATATTGGCAAGAACAAGATTTGTTATTATGTTTGATTAATTGTCAAATTAAACTTTATCCCAGGCAAAAATATATATATATATATATATATGTGTATATATAGATGAAACCAGATAATTCCCATGATTCCTCAACTAACAAAAATCAATTATCAGCCAGCCTAGGGCTGAATCAACACCACTCTATACTTAATTTTGTCACATACTACAAGTGGTCCATATTGTTGGGGAAATAATGCTTCGAATCACTGTCAAGTATGAAATAAAGTATACACAAATAAATTAATTTAATGAGATCACAAGATAGACAACATAAGAGAAGTGGAAAACCGTCCAACAGAGAGGGAAAAACCACCGATACATATGTTGGCCATGAATTCTCATTAAAACTTTGATAACTCGTGTTAAAATATGAATCTATATGATAATGGAAACATACCAACAAATAAATATGGATACATAAAAATATATATATATATATATATATATAATATTTAACATTATTTTAGAAAATTTTAAAATCTTGCTAAAAATAATTTTTTTTTAATATCTTTTGTATGAGTACGAAATAATCTTCTCGTATAATCCTGTTAATCAAGTTTGCACTCCTCCAAACTTCGTCGCTTTGCTACTTGAAAACACAAACTTGAGCTAGCCGGCGGGTGTGTGCCGAAAACCCCTCTGATGCCTAAGTCAGCAAAATAGACAAGTAGACAAAAAGCTTTGTGTATTCAAGAATCAAAGTTGTGTTACCTCTCCATAGGTGATGTTGTGAGCTTTTATAGGTTCCGTGTGGCACAATCCTAGTAGGACTCTTACTCCTCCATGTAGAGTCCTCCTAGGAATCACATTCCTGAAAGATAATGCTTATCCTTCAACACCCCCCTCACTGCTTAAACCAAGTGAGATGGTTTTACCACGGTTGGATGTCAATACGACCGAGCTACCATGACCATGCTAAAGCCGCAGACTAGACCGAGCTCCAGCTAGCTTGGTTCTTCCTTTCACTGCGTATACCTCAGTTTGACATACTCCAACTGTGGTGTTTACTTACTACCGTGCTAACCGTAGTAAACCCCCGACCAAGCTAATGATAGCTAGGTCCACCGCAAGAAGCCCAAATACCTTGGTTCTGAATACCCTGACCGAGATAACTACCTTTACTTCGTCTGGTGACTTTAATCACACTTGGACCGTGGTAACACTTGTCAATCCCTTTTCATACTTGGACCGAACTAACTATGGCGCGCTAAGACCGCGCTAACCAAAGCGAGGTCCACAATGAGAAGCCATCATACCTTGGCTCCAAATACTACGACCAAGCTAACTATGGCGCGCTACGACCGCGGTGACCGTCATTATACTTGGACCGAGCTAACACTTGCGATCCACTTGCTAAGCTCTTCTTACCGCGACCGACACCTTTACCTCGGCTGATATCTTTACCTCGGCTAACATTACGGTCAACCAAGTTACTTCGGCTCTTCTCTCCGTTTGACTACCTTGCTTGGTAGCTCGGCCATAGCGTTGACCGCCACTAGGAAGTAGCTAAGTCCCGTAGCTAGGTCCCGTGGCTAGGTCCAATAACTTGGTCCCGTAGCTAGGTCTTGTAGCTCGGTCTCGTAGCTAGGTCTTGTAGCTAGGTCTTGTAGCTCGGTCTTGTAGCTAGGTCCAACAGCTTGGTTCTGTAGCTAGGTCCTATAAACATCTTTGACCGCCATTCCAACCTAGCTCGGCCCAATTTGGCTACGCAAATTACCCTCTCAATTGCCCCTTAATTCCATCTGCGTAGCATGATTTGGGATTACCTGTTAACAGCCGAGCTAAAAACTGCAGCCCTTCAACCAAGCAATGACTTGGGGCTGAACCAACTCCCTGACTTAGTCAAAACCGAACTAAGAATGCCACACCATAAGCTTCAACCGGGCTACGAATCCCTTGTTTCACTTAGCCGAGCGAGGACTCCATTTATTTCGCCTTTGTTTTTTTTAGCACGGTCCAACGATCCGTGCTTTATTTTTCCTTTTCACTTTGCAGATTGACTAGGTTGGCTAGGCACACCTTTGCACGCTCAACCGTGATATTGAAGAGGCCCAATGAAAGACAACCAAACTTTAGACAGAAATCGTCCGCCTTACCGAGCTCTTCTTCAAGTGTGGGTGGAAAGTAGCTGTGGCGCAACTCGGTCATAGCCAAGAGACCGAGGTCTTCCTAAACCCTCCTCCATATTTTATACCGAGCTCCATGGTGGATTATGCAAATGCCATTCAGCAAAAATTTCTTCAAGCTGAGGAAGGTGATGCATCCCAAGAGCCTGATAACAACGCCCAGCTCGGTCGCCAGTCCATCTCTCCAACTCCAGTGGTCTCCATCCCCCTTGCCTGTTGTGTCTGATGCGGTGCCTTCGACCGAGCTCAACCAAAGTGTGCTTGCCATAACCGAGCTACCTTTAGGTGAAACCAGGGTTGAATTGGACGCCGATTTAAATGACCTCTTTGCATGACCATGTACTTTCTTTTCTTTGGATGCTAACTTTGGAAGCTTTTATAACCGGGCTGAGTCCCCAACTATTGAACCTTTTTCTTGCTGAGATAACTATCTCGGTCTTACCCTTGCAATATAATTATAGCTGCCAATCACTCTTTAGCCGAGATCCCTACCTCGGCTGAAGAGTACTAAAAGTTGGTTTAGTCCAGCCAACCACTCTTCAACCGATATCCTTACTTCGGCTGAAGAGTACCAAGAGTTGGTTTAGTCCAGCCAACCACTCTTCAGCCGAGATCCTTACCTCGGCGGAAGAGTACTAAGAGTTGGTTTAATCTAGCCAACCACTCTTTAGCCGATATCCTTACTTCGGCTGAAGAGTACTAAGTGTTGGTTTAATCCAGCCAACCACTCTTTAGCCGATATCCTTACTTCGGCTGAAGAGTACTAAATGTTGGTTTAATCTGGCCAATCACTCTTCAGCCGATATCCTGACTTCGGCTGAAGAGTACCAAGAATTGGTTTAGTCCAGCCAACCACTCTTCAGCCGAGATCCTTACCTCGGCTGAAGAGTACTAAAAGTTGGTTTAATCCAGCCAACTACTCTTTAGCCAAGATCATTACCTTGGCGGAAGAGTACTAAGAGTTGGTTTAATCCAGCCAACCACTCTTTAGCCGATATCCTTTCTTCGGCTGAAGAGTACTAAGTGTTGGTTTAATCCAGCCAACCTCTAGATTTGGTTTTCCAGCCAAGCCAGAGTAAAGTGTTTGGTTATTCCGACCAAACGTCCTACAGCCTGGATCCTTATCCTGGGCTTAGGAGGGGTGTTGGTTTTTCCAGCCAACCTTTAGATTGGTTTTTCCAGCCAACTTAAAGTAAAGTGTTTGGTTATTCCTACCAAACTTCTTAATTGCCCTCCAAGTCGGCCAAAGACTTGTTGGTCAAACCTGCCAACTTCCTGCAGTTTAGATATCCTTATCTCGGCTTAGGAGAGTTAAATGTTGGTTATTCCGGCCAACATAGAGCTAAGTGTTTGGTTATTCCTGCCAAACTTCTTGATTGCCCCCCAAGTCGAGCAAAGACTTGTTGGTCAATCCTGCCAACTTCTTGCAGCCTAGATATCCTTATCTCGGCTTAGGAGAGGTAGTGTTGGTTTTTCCAGCCAACTCTGCTTTTAATGCCCCTAGCTCGCTAAAATAACTTTTACAAAAAGAAAACAATCTATGCTGAAAAGGAAACTACTTGTTTTATTGAGGACCCCCAAGTCGGGCAAAGACTTGTTGGTCAATCCTGCCAACTTCCTGCAGCCTAGATATCCTTATCTCGGCTTAGGAGAGGTAAGTGTTGGTTTTTCCAGCCAACTCTGCTAAGCGTTTGGTTATTCTTGCCAAACTTCTTGATTGCCCCCCAAGCCGGGCAAAGACTTGTTGGTCAAACCTGCCAACTTCCTGCAGTCTAGATATCCTTATCACGGCTTAGGAGAGCTAAATGTTGGTTATTCCGGCCAACATAGAGCTAAGCGTTTGGTTATTCCTGCCAAACTTCTTGATTGCCCCCCAAGTCGGGCAAAGAGTTGTTGGTCAAACCTGCCAACTTCCTGCCGCCTAGATATCCTTATCTCGGCTTAGGAGAGGTAGTGTTGGTTTTTCCAGCCAACTCTGCTTTTAATGCCCCTAGCTCGCTAAAATAACTTTTACAAAAAGAAAACAATCTATGCTGAAAAGGAAACTACTTGTTTTATTGAGGAAAAGAAAAATTACAAGTACTCTATAAGAAAGCTAAAAATAAAATAATTTGAGATTGGCAATGTTCCATGGTCTGGGAATTGCTTTGCTGTCTTCGTCTTCCAAGTGGTAAGCACCTTTTCCTGCTAATCCGACCACTTCGTAAGGTCCTTCCTAATTAGGCCATAATTTGCCATCTCCTGGTACCAAGGTGTTGCCCATCACTTTGCGCAGTACCCAATCTCCGATCTTAAATGGCATTTTATTCAGCTGCCTTGCCTACATCTGTGAACAGCTCCTTGCTCTCGAGTTCTTCCACCAGCTGTACATATCTTTTGGCAGCGCGACTGCCATTTGCTGTGACGAAACATTGTTTGGACATAATTTGGTCTCCAAAGACCTCTTCAATTACCCCGGCTTCGTTGGGAAACCGCAATACTTGATGGTAGGTTGAAGCTACCGATCGCATGGCGTGCAACCATGTCCTTCCCAATATTATGTTGTAAGAGGAAGAGACTTTCAATACCCAGATTTCCACTTGATTTGTCATGGTTCCTGCCTTGACTAGGAGGATTATCTTACCCACTGGCCATTCTGGTATTGAGTTGAATCCGATCAGGGGAGATGTTGCAGGTGCCAAGTCTTTGTCCTCCAATTTTAATTGTTTGAAGGTTTCATAATACATTATCTCACATGAGCTTCCTTGGTCGATCAAAATCCGTTTAATGTCGATATTCTTGACTCATAGAGTGACTACCAGTGCATCATTGTGAGGGCAGTATATCCTTGCTAAGTCTTTGTCCGAAAAAGATATGACATTTGTGGGTTCTGTTCTCCCCTTTTTGATGGTAGGTTGTGCACT